TTTTTGTAGCCATTCTGGTTTTCTTTCCATGTTACCAATAATATCTTTTGTGAATGGGAAAGCTTTTACCCAATGTTTCAGTCTTGCGTCATTTATTTCTGTAGTTGGTTTTATTTTGTCAAGGAACATGTTTTTCAATACTAACATTTCATTTGGTACTGTCCATTTGAGTTTTCTTAAATATTCATCCCTTCTCAGTTCATTGTCTGCAAAGTAAGTTTTTATGACATTTTGTAAACTTTCGTTTGCAAGGTCATGTACAATAGGTTCTCTTCCTTCTATCTCCCTAACTTTCTTTCTAAACTCTTCACCAAATATACCATCTCTATGGTTCTGTGTAGTTCTTTGAGATAAATGTTCTAGAACGTCAGGTGTTATATTTCCATCAGCCATGTTCATTTCATACTGGTCCAAAATATCTGCATGTTTCATATCTTTCAATGGCATTAAAGCCGCGCTGAAAATACCAGCTATATCTGGTTCACCATTCACTTCCATTGCGTCTACAACTTCTTGGAATTGTGGTTGTAAGTTTATGAACCACCTATCCGGATTAGCTTTATGACCCCATCTCATTGTAGTTCCATAGTCTGCAGAAACAAAAGTAGGTTTGTTTCCATATTGGTTAGGTTCTGAATGAACTTTAAACAATGTTTCATTTCTATATGTTTTGGTGAAATTTAACCTTTTATTTTCACCGAGTTCAGCCAAAGATTGAACGTTATATGGTCGTAAGTAAAAAGGATTGTTGTATTTGCGTACACTTTCTTTCAGTTCTTCCATTCTATGCTGAATATTTTCATCTGATGTTGGAGTCTTTTGTATGTCGGCGAACATTTTTCGATATTCTTCTACTATGTCAGCCGAATTTTTCTTAGACTCTTGGAAAGATTCCATATTCTCCGCATACTCTTGTTGAGGGTCAAGATTTTTCGGCTGTTCCAAATCTTCATCTAGTTCTGTGAAGTTAGTTTCCAAAGGAGGGACTTGTTTGTTTCCTTCAGGCTCTTCTAGCTGTTGTTGCTGAACTATTTCTTCCATGTCTGGTTGTATCTGAACTTCTTCCTGTTGAGTTTCTTGTACCTCATCTGCTGGCATTTCATATATTCCGAGACCGTTTTTAACAAGTTCCCTATTTAAGTCATCCGCATTCATAACCCTTTCTTCTTTCGTTCCGTCTCTATTTTTTACGCGTTTCATGAAGATAGTTGAATTATCATTTATCTCTGACACCAAATATCTCGGAGTAAATTCATCCATGTCATTTGGATGATATGCTATTAAATCATATCCCTTAGCGAGCTTGTATTTTCCAGGTTTGAAATTATATCCCATTTGGTGCTGAACCATAAAGCTAAATAGGTTCGGGTCAGTATTTCCTTCCTTGAACTTTCTAATAGCTTCTTTATATCTGTCACTAAAGTCAAGAGTATCTGGGTAACCATAATTTTCCTTAAGCATTTTTAAGAATTCTTGGTTTCCTTGTTCTCTACTTCTTTTATGTCCTTGCTCTGTTTGTGGTTGTTGCTGTGCAGTGTTTTGAACTGTTGGTTGTGGTGCAGTGTTTTGAACTGTTGGTTGTGGTGCAGTGTTTTGAACTGTTGGTTGTGGTGCAGTGTTTTGAACTGTTGGTTGTTGTGTTGGTTGTTGTGTTGGTTGTGGTGCAGTGTTTTGAACTGTTGGTTGTTGTGCAGTGTTTTGAACTGTTGGTTTTGGTGCATGCCTGTGTCTGTGTCCATGTGACGATGTAAATGTTTTAGGTAGTCCTGGTGCAGGTGCTTCTCTTGGAGGGTTTGGTGGTATATAAGTTCCACCAGCTGGCACATATGTTCCATCTGCAGCATAATGTCCTACCTGACTTTTCGTTTTTAAGAAAGCATTTACTAGGTCTGTTTTGGTCTGTTGTAACTCTTTTTCTTGACTTTCCACAACAGTTGCTCTAACGGCGTCATAGGCACTTTGAACTGCCTGTCTCGTTGCTGCATCTGTTATTTTCGTCATATTTTGTGCTACTTCTCTTAACTCGTTGTCGAAACCTTCAGACTTCAGTTTCTTTCCAGATGAGAAGTCGTTCACTAGTTTCACCTTACTATGAAGAGCTTCGAAGGCGTTCTTAAAGTCAGCATTCATTAAAGCTTCATTTGAACTGTCTTCATCCGCTTGTATTTTTGTCCTTATTGACCCTATAAGTTGGGCTGCTTTAGCGTTGGCTTGGGCATCTAACCAGTCATTATTAGCTTTTATATATTCTGCGCTTTTCATTGCCTTTTGCATGGCTGCGTCGTTATTTTTACTTTCTTGTGCTAAGTTTTCATACTGTACGGTTTGGTTTTGCAACTGTAAAAGTTTTTCTGCCTTTATATTTGCTTCAACTTCTTTTTTATACTCATCGCTATCCATATATGTCTTCAGGGCTTTTTGTTTTATCTCTTCATCTTTCAGTACTTTATATTGAGTAGTATGGTTTTTCAAATTTATAACATCTTGTTCCATTTTTGCTACTTCTGCTGCTTTTTCTGACACTTTTTTCGCATATTCCTCTGTACTTAGTTCTTTCAGTTGTTCTTCTTTCTTCTTTTTCTCTACGTTTAACTCATTGAGTTTCTTTGTGTGTCTGTCATATTCTAGTTTCTTTTCGTTTTCACTTATTTGTTTCTGTATGTCTATGTTTGACTTTTTGACATCTGTTATTTGATTTTTGAGTGAACTCAAATTCATTTGACTTTGAGGGTTATAAGCTGTTCCGTCTGCAGCTCCACCATAGCCTGCCATTTTCGCTAAAAGTGCCGCTCTTAAACCTCCACTCTGTGCACCAATAACTCGGTTTAAAAGCATAGGGTTGCTTGACATTTGTTGCAACATAGTGGGGTCATTCATAATTTGTTGTTGCAACTGTTGTTGTGGTGTCAGTTTTACTATTGGATGTTTTAATGCTCCCTTCCTCTTACGTATATTCTTACGTAGCTTACGTGGCATTTTAAGTGAAGTTAAAAAGCGGTTTTTGACAGATGTTTATATGACACTATTTGTTCAGCACAAAAAACTACTCGGTCAAAGTGTTGTCAGTTTTGTAAAATAACCGTCCTATCTCATTCTATAAGGGAGAAAAGGCTTCTCAAAGTATACTTCCGTGGAACGCCTGTAACTTTTCCTGTAGCGACGATAGACCCTTATTTGTCCGGACAAAGTTATACTAAACATCTTCAGGGCTAGAGGGCACGAAGTGCCTGGAGGCCCCACTACCTTTTTTTTTATTGATTAATATAAATTTATTAATAAGAATAAACAATTTTTGTTTTTGAATTTATTCAATTTATAGCTTTACATATAGTTTCAAAATTGTACAACTATGATTATTTCAACAAAAAATATCTTACTTTTTCACTTCACTTTCACACTCACTTTTTCCGTAATTCAAATTTCAACATTATGTATTTTAATTCCTTATAGTATTTTTAACATAATTAATCAAATAATAATTGGAAGTTCTGAACTTACTTTTTCCGTAATTCAAAATCAAAAATATGAATAATATATCTATTTATTATATACTAATGCTATTTTCAACTAGAAGTGAGGTACGGTAATCTTACGGATTCCCTAACTCAATTTTACGGAAAAAGTGCAGTAAACTACTCAATTTACGGAAAAAGTGTCGTAAACTATTGATGTGGCGGTAAAATCACGGTAATTCACGGAAAGCTATATGCGAAAATTTGAAATTATACAAAATCGAGCGAAACACTTTTAAATAGGTTGTTCTCGTATTTAAAATACTATTCCCAGATTTATTGTCGTCAGAATATTTCCAAATTTTTGCCGATTTACAAAAAATGATTTACAAAGCATATTTTTTAATCTAAAAAATTCCTAAAAAAAGGAACCGGTGTGCGGAAACCTCGGTAAATTACCGCGGTTCCCGTTGGGACTGCCATAGAATATTTGCATTCTAGCAGCAAAACCAAGAGCAAATTTTCAATTATATTTGTTTCAAAAATTTAAAAGGAAATATAGAGTATATTAATGATCACTAAACTATCAAATTATAACATATATTAAAATTATTGAATTATTTTAATGAATAATGGTTAATGTAAAATATCGAGGTATCGAAATGAGATTACTTTAAAAGAAGTTAAGCTAAGGGTATATTTATTCATAGGAAAACAAAAAATGTAACATATTAGTACAAGATGATAGATAAATAGAAAAAATTTGTTAAATAACCGAGAGCTTATCATGTATTTGTGTGTTGACATTTAAAAATAGTAGATTTAGCAAATCTGCTGTGAATTTTTGTTTGTTTCCTGTTCAGGAGTGTAGATCATAGAAAATTTGTCAATATCTTGTCAACAAGCTATGTAAATATCGTGAATAAGCTTAAAATAGTATAATACCTATGTGTTCTCTATCATTTTGCAATCTATGAATGCACAAGTAGGAAACCTGCCATTTCTGATTACAAAAATAACTTTTTCTCGAAAACGGCCCGATAAATTGGGCTTCATTTCAAAATATGTTAAAGTATAATAGTAAGCAAAGAATTCTGTTATATCTGTGGGCAATTTTATAGGTGAAAAGTATTAGATGTGAAATATTAAATTTTAACATACTACTTTCGAAGGTTAGATAATGATCAAAGCGAGCCAAATGATGAATGGAATCAAAATTCCTTGAAAACAACGATAGTAATTTTTAATTGAAGATATGAGGAACTAAATCATAGCTAATTTTCAAATAAAACAAATAATATAATTATTCTAGGACTCGTTCAATATGCCCCCTTAAATCTTTAGAATTATATTCATCTGAGAGGCTATTCAAATGAAAATAAGTACCATAAGATTTTTTTAAAAAAATTGCGAAATAACGTATTTTTTGCTGGTCTTTTGTTTATTTGTTTATAATTTTCATTTCATTTTAAAGTTGTGAGCGATTTAAGACTACCACATATTTTAAACCAAGGATTAGAGTTAGAACTTATAACATACCCAAAGATTATGGGAATCCAAAAGAGTTTTTCAGAATATTATGGCGAGACTGAGTTCACAGATAAAACCAAAAACGAAACTATATCTGAAAAAGGCAACTATTACATTCACAATGCAATATTTTCTTTCCATTATCAAAAAGCGGCGATTTACCTTATTACAGACAACAAAGTATTAATAGAAACATGCACATTTTACAATAACAGCTCCAAATATTATGGTGGATCATTCTTTATCGAAAACTCTGAATGTGTCTTAATTCATCTTTGTATATTACTTTCAAATAACACAAATTTTGGATGTGGATATTGTATTAAATCATATTCTAAACCTAACTACAAAAGTTATGCGTTTGAATGTTCAGTTTCGCAATGCAGTGGAGAAGGTGCTCCACTTTATCATACAGGTGGAGATATCCAAGTGAGTAATATGAATACATCTAATCATAGAATTACTAAATATGCTGCATATTCAATAGTGAGTTCAAAAGGAGTAGGAATTATTAATTTCACAACAGCCTCAAATGCATCATCAATAAAAAATGGTGCAATTTGTAATGGTGATGGATTAAATATTACAAGAACTAATTATTTAAATAATGAATATAACGGAAGTTATAATGCAATAATTTATGTTGATACAGTATTTTATTCAAACTGTTCATTCATAGGAAATAAAGGAAACTATTTATTTGATAAAAAACCAAAAGCTGTTGAAAATTGTTACTTTAATGATAACAATGTCACTCAAATTGTAAGAAGTTATCAAATTACTTATGAATCAATCCAACCATTAGATTCATTAATAATTCATTATACAACAGATAAATGTTCTGTTACATATTTTTATCCTCAAAAACAAACAAATATTGGAGGAGTTATGTCATTAAAGAGCCTAAAAATATTGAATCGAAGACGTTAAACATATATAAAAATTAATTGCATGGAGTAGTTTTCAATTTTTGTCGCTAATTCATAAATTTTTATATATAAATTACTTTGTTTTATTAATGTTCCCGTTCCACACCATGAATTTTCAAATATGCTGAACTAGGAAGGCAATATGGAATAATATACTATTATAAAAGTACCTTATACTCGTATTCTCCATCATTACTTGTTTTTGATGGTTTTATTTTAGTATTCTGTATCATTATAACGCTGTATTCCAATTCTGAATTGACTTTTTAGTTCGTCTTATTCCTTTCTCACGTCAAATTCAAAATTAAATAAGGTTCTGTTCTACTCTGGATTGATCCTCACCTAGTTTTTGTCACGCAGCTTAGTTGTTTGATGATCTTTTGTCGCATGACTTGAACAAATCTTGTCTCGAAAGAAGGAATTCTGGTTTAACACTGCCTAAAAGAGCTCCCATTGATTTCAAGTTTGTCAACAATATCTTGATTGATTCAATTACCAGATTGAATTTATTTCTTGCTGTTTTTTGTTTTCATAGTAATTAAAAAGAATATTCGTGATTGCTGATAGGAAATTGGCATTTATAATTTTGGTTGCGTTTATTAGATGAGAGATGATAAATGCATTGCTTCACAAAATGATGTATTATATGCGCCCATGGCCACAAATTTGATAGCTTCTATCAAGAATTTGTCTTCTTCTTCGAATGATCTTTGTTCAAGGTATGTATCAGGACATTTATCCATTGCATAATGAGATAAATATGAATCAAATGGTTCACCCGGATCAATATAAACATTATTATCACTTGAAATTCTCTTGATGTCGTTATCTTTAAAGTAACAATGAATAATATATGGTTTATCTGAAAACAAAAAGTTCCCTTTATTTCTGATGAATGAACAATTTGAAAATGTGACTGTGCCAGAATTGAGTATTAGTCCATTAATGCTTCCTGTATATGAATTATATAAATAATTGCATTTTATAATATTAATTGTATTTTGAGAATTGAATATTCCGCCTTGTTCTGTAGATGATGTGTTTGATGCTGTTGTGAAATTAATAATTCCTGTTTCTGTTGGTGATTGAATTCCATATGCTGCACACCTTGTAGTAACATGATTCGATGTATTCATATTACATGTTTCAAGTAAGACTTTGCTGTTAGAACTAAGAGAAATGGCGCGATTTTGAAAGTGGAAAGAAAAGACTGAATGATGAATGTAATAGTTGCCGGTGCCTGATATGGTTTCGTTTTTTGTACTTTCTTTAAAAGTATTGGAATCATAATAATCGGAAAAACTACTTTCAAGTAGCAAATAACTTTGAAGTTCAATTTCTTTTGATGAAAAAGTAGTTCTGAGTATTGTTTCATGGTAAAGTAAATAATTCTATTGTTTAATATGATTTTGATTTGAAATAAGGATCAAATTGTTTTAGTTTTTTCGTCAAATTTATGATATTTTAAAAAATTGACATTTAAAATTGTATGAAAAATAATTTATAAATAAAATGAATAAACAATAAAAAAAATTTAAAACATAACAAAATAAATAAATTAGTAAATAAAATAAATGAGAGAAAAATTATTTCCGACTGTTGAGATATGGTTTCTTAAGTTTAGTGGTTGACTTGCGTTTGGATGGACTATCTAATGGAGCAACAATTGGAGCTAATGATGATTGAGCAACAACTGGAGGAACGTAGTCCGGCATTTTACCAACAACATCATAAATGTATTGTGAATCAATCATGTCAATAACAAACATGCCTTTAAGAAGTTTACCGTATGTCTTAGGACTGAATGTGATCTCAACCGGTAAATATTGACTGCCTGGAATAGCTAAACCATGTGAAGGAGAAACTGAGAATTCACTAGCACTGCCAGTGGCAAAATATGCATGGAATGGTTTCTGACTGTGGATTTCAGATGGTGTTTCAACATGTGAAATACCAACTTTGTTCAAAAGTGATTCAATAGTGATAGTATCGATCGGTTTACCGATCTCACTAATCAAGTCAAGACGGAACTGCCATTCTTGACCAAGTGTGTTTTTCACTGTAGAAACAACGGTAGTAACAATAGGACGCATGGGACTGAAATGTGCTTCAACAATAAGATCGGTGCCGGTGTCATTGTGTTGCGCTTCAACAATAGTCAATGATAATTGACTAGAAATGAATTCCGCGTTTTGTGGAATACTTGTACGGATGTCGTATTCGTGTGGTTGAAGGGATTCAGTCTCACCAACTAATGTGAATGTAAGGTGTTCATCGATACTTTCCATAGACTTAGTCTTAAGAACTTTAGATTCGTTAGCATCACTTGCAAGTGAATTACCAATGATAGGATAGACCCACCGGATGCCGGGGGTGCTGTCTAAATCCGGAAGTTGGCTCCGTGCTGGACCAAGAGAAACAATGATGATAGATGCTTGGAATTGGCCAAGTTCTTTGGGAGTGAATGTGAAGGGAATCTGGAATTCTTCGCCAAAGGTGTTAAGTGTAAAAACTTTCTTCTTAACTAAAAATGAGAAACTATCGCTACTACTTGTCATGGTAACTGAAAACCGTGATGGGAATGAGAATGGATTAGAAAATAGGATCAATGCACTGTTAGTCTGTGAAACAACACTAGAAATGATAGTAGGACTAAGTGGTTGTGGAGGTTTACCAATACCAGAAACGATGTATGAGAATGTGCCAATCTCGTTAGAAATGAATGAAATAGTGGATGATTCTTTAGTACCAATGACAGATGGAATGTAGCGGACTTCAATTCGCTTAGATTCACCGGCTTGCAAAAGAATCATACGCTTGCAAAGAACATCGAAAATATTAGGACTCTCGTTCTCAAGACGGAAATTGATAGATTTGTCGGTAGGATTTTCAAGAGCAATGAATGTGCGGTCGAATTTACCAATGGGAGCTGAAAGTGGTGCTAAAACGGATGGAGATGGTTCACTAGCAATGATGTTGATGTTGTACCAGAACTCACCACCGCTCTCTGAGTAGAAATAGATGGATGAGATCTTGTTGCATGACTTAAGAGGAGTAACTGTAACTTGGTAGTTGATTTGACCATGTGACGGAACTAAAAATTCATGAACACCGGAAATGTCACTGTCTTGGTATGTAACATTGAATGTAACGGAGAAGTCGTTTGGATTGTTGATAGGAATCTGAACACTAACACTCTGACGAGCAACCGTGTTCACATTAAGTTGTTGTTCAACTGCGGGTGCTGAAACATGAATTTCAACAACATACCAAATGTGATTTTGTGATACCGAATCAATGAATTTGATCATGCCGGCACAAATACCACTTCGACTCGCTGAGATTTCAAATTCAAAATCGGTTGGACCACTAGCATTTGGTGTAATCTGTTTATCAAATGTGATAATTGGAATGTCACTTGTAACTTTGATAGGATTCATTGTGAATTTAGGAATTTGGATTTTGTGTTTCATAGGAATGCGTGCTTGGCAATGAACAACGATTTTGTCTTCGGCGGGTGGTTCTTCAACAACTGCACTAACTTTGTATAAAACACTTGATTCTTTACTGAGATTTTGAACTAAAAGATCACAACTGAATGTACCAACTTTGCTTGGATTGAACTGGATTTGGATTTGTTGTGTAGTACCACCTTTGACGGTGAAACGTGGTGTTGTTTGGAATCCTTGATCACCAGTGATACTAGTCTTGAATGTCCAGTTATCGTTGGATGGATTTGTGAATGGAATGTCTTGTTTAACACTCTTACCGGTAGTCGTTTGGAATTCAATAGAAAATTCGTGTGTAGTTTGAAGAGAAATGCCTTTGATGTTGAAGACACGAACATCATTTTCAGAAAGCAAAACAACTTTGCATGGATATTCGCCTGCTTTAGTTGGTTTGAATGTGATGGACAAACTGTTTGAATTTTGAATATTCTTAGAGTTGTTGCTTCGCTCCGTTTGAACTTGGTTAGATTTACAAAGTGTAAATTCGTTGCTAAGCTCATAATATTGTGGTGATGATGATAAAACAATGAATTTCTTACTTTGGAAACTACTCTTGTATATGTTCTCTAAGTCATGTTGACGACGATTCACTTCGTCTTTGATACGTGAATCTTTGTTTCCGTTCAAGATAGAAAGATGACGTTCAATAGAGAATGCAAGTGAATTGAACAGTGATGGATTAATGATATCAATTGGTAAATTTTGTGTGATCTTCTTGCCGGCTTCGACTTTGTATTTACCAACAATATCAACAGCAGCTGGAAGTTTGCAGTTACCAAGGATTTCAACAACAAATTCGCCTTTCTGATCATCAATGAAAAGAACTAAACATCGATATGTACCAACTTTGATTGGATTGAAATCAACTTCCAAATTAAATTCTGTTTTGTTATTGCTGAATTCAACTTGGTTCTTGTTAAGAATGAATGTTTTGTGGTTCTTGATGATGTTATCGATGTTCTTCTCTTTAGAATAGTCGAAGTATTCATCTGAGTTATCAAATGGATTTTGAACAAAACTTGAGATATGTTGTAACAATGATTTGTTACTACCAACTTCTTTACCATTCTCATCTTGGATGTATGTAACTTGTGAATAAATGTTCATCTTGCATGTAGTGTTCAACATGTTCTTAACTGGGATTTTGATAGGAACATTGTTGTAGATACACGATTCAACAGTAACTGATGTTTCGGGAGCTGAAACGGTGATGTTTGAGATGAAATCAACAACAATAGGTGCTGAATATGTTGGTGGATGTGATGCTGATCGTGATGAATTATCGGAATTAGTAACATAGCGAGGACGTGATGGAATTAATGTCAAACGACCTGTTAATGTTTTGATTGTTCGTGCTTGGAATGTAACTGGAAAATCAACGGTTTGATTAGGACCAACAAAGATTGATTCTTGTTGGAGTTGGTAATTTGGATTACCTTCGAAAATAGCACGATATGTGATCTCCGATTTAGATGGATTTGTAACGGAAACAACACGTGAAATAGGTTTATGTAATGGACCGGAAAATTCAATAGTTTGAAGAGGAATAAAATGTGGAATGATGTCCATCAAATAACACCCAATCATAGCATTCATACAATCATTACCACCAAAGATTTCTTCTGCTGTAGGACTGAATCCTAATTTAAGGTATTTCATGCAGTTTGTGAATTCAATAGCATTCTGTTCTTTCTCGCGTTTATCGGTAGGAAGGAATGAAATGTTAGATGTAAATAATTTGGTGTGATATGATAAACTACTGCAAAATGCATAACCATCTTTAAGACAACTGAAATCACTTTGGATGGCTTTGATGTCATTACTTTTGATGCAGGAATAAATAGATAACCATTTCAAAATACAAACTTCTTTGTTGTTGAATTGACTTTCTTTAAGTTTCTTGTTGATTTGATCATGGAGATCTTCTTGGTTAGGTTTGTTACTTCGAAGAAGTTTAATAGCATTTTGAACACCAGGAATGTTGTTGAACTTCTCTGGATTGATTCGATTGATACCATAAATCTTGAAACATTGCATCAAAACAATCATCCAACTCTCGATACTTAAATTATTATATAATGTCTCAATAACTTTAAGACGATCAACTAATGTGCTTGAGAATGCATTAGATGATGTGAATTCACTCAATGTCTTAGAATCAATTTGATCTAAATCCGGAGCACCAAATTTGTCAATTCCTAATAGTTGTTTGATGATCTTTTGTCGCATGACTTGAACAAAATCTTGTCTTGAAAGAAGGAATTCTGGTTTAACACTTCCTAAAAGAGCTCCCATTGATTTCAAGTTTGTCAACAATTTCTTGATTGATTCAAGACGTTTTGAGAATTTGTCATCAACAGCGGTTGATGCTCGTTCTTCTTGTTTTTCGTTCTTCTTAGTATTTGGAACGAAATTAGCAATCATTTCTTGAATAATAAGACCTTGGTTTGCAACTAATCCTTGTGGAAATTCACTCAATTGTGTGCTAAAGAATAATGCATTGAAATATCGCATAACAAATTTAATCATCATTTGTGAGCATAATGGTTCCCATGTTTGACCTTTAATTTGTGTGTAATCTCCTGAATTACAGATGAAGCGTGATGTCAATTCTGAGTTATTTAAGAATTTATTTAAGTCTTCAACTGTTGATTTAGGAGTGATTTGGATTTGGTTTGCGAAATATGGATACAATGTGAAAATGGAATTATCTGTTGTACATGTAACACTGAAACTTGTTGCATGACCATTGTCATCTGTCAATGCAACATTAACTGAAAATGACATTGGTTTAGATGCTTGGAATGAAACAAGAATTGGAAGTTTTTCTTGTGTATGTAATAATTGGTTTCCATCGGGGAATGTAACTTTAACTGGAAAAACATTTTCATCGGCTGAAATTGTTGCTTTTAACAGGCCATCGATGTAACCATCGTTTTTGACATATAGTTCAAGTTGTGATTTTGTATTTAATGGTACAATAGGAAGAGAAATTTCAGGAACAGAAACTGAAAACATTGAACTTGTTCCAACACCTGTAAATTGGATTTTTCCAATGACACTTTCTTCTTTTCCTTTAGATAACAAAGGAATGTAACAGTTAAATGGCTGTGCAGATGGTGGCTGGAATTGTACATGAATTACTTCTGATGATCCGATATCTAATTCACCTTCAATTGGCTCAACAGTGAAACTAAAATCATCTTTAACTTTTGGAATTACTGATGTATCCAATCTCCAACCAATTTTCGTTTTAGAATCGTTCAAAAGTGAGATTGTTTTAGAAACTTTTCTTTGTCCAGGATTGAGTTTATCAATAACAGGACAAATACCAAAATCAATACTCGAATTTGACACAATTATCGGTGACAAAACAGCTTCACCAGAAACAATTGGTTGCAAATGAAAACTTGAACTTGACATCATATTCAAAAGAGTTATTGGTAATTCAAATGAATGGTCACCTTGTTTTGTTGGTTGGAAAACAAGATTAAACTTAATCTGTGAGTTATCCATGATCTGGATCTTATAAACCAAGCCAACATTTGAATTATCAGTATCATTCAACATGTCAATTTTCAAAGAAGTTGTTGACGTTGTTGAAGAAATTTGAGCTGAATAAGCCAAAGATGTTGTTGATTCCATAGACATATATTCTTGTGCAGGAACCATTTTAGTAACGAAAAACGGATCAGATACAAGAGAAATAGAATTTTTGTTTTCATTATTAGAAATATCACTTAAATCTGTTTGGTATTCTATTCTAAATTCGGGGTGTTGTGATAAATCTAAGAATAATATTGCAGGTATTGCACCAATATTCTTTATTGTTCCTTCAATAGATTGATAAGAACCAACGAAAACACGTCCGAAATCGAATTCCGTGTTAGTTATACATACATTTGGTAATTCTGATTGTGCAGTAACATTAAAAGTTATTGGAGAAGCTCCACAAATAGAAATTGTTACAGGAAGATCAAAGATTTTAGCGTGATTCGCTTTAAATGATATTTGTACCATCTGTTGATCTCTTGCAGATACTTTTCCTGATATAGGAGAAACGCTTAATTCTCTAGATCCATTTGTATTTATAGAGAAAATTGCATCGTCATCGCCTGAATTTTTGAGTCTGATTTGTTGTGTCTTCAAAATTCCAATTGGCATCAATCCGAACGCTAATGATCTCTTGTTGATTGAACATTTAGGAGAACCAACATCACCTATTAATCTTAATGATTTGTTGGGACCTCCTGCCACTGTCAAAGTTATGTTTTGTTCATCGTGAGGATGATTTCCAGGATTATAAGAAATCTCGATGTTTTGGGACGAATTCGGGTCAATAGTTCCATTAACATTAGAGATAGAGAAAGGAGCTTTTATGTCTATCCATTTATATTGAGCAGGAGCCATTGATCTGTTAATAACAGTGATGAATTCTCGAATTACAGGTAACGTTGAATCCCCTGCAAATCTAAATTCCATTGATGTCTTAGAGAGTTGTACATCAATAGGAATAACTTGTGCACATATATTTACTGAATATGAATGTGCATTATTGACAGTGTAAGTAATTGTTTTCATGAAATTCTGAGGTTTATTTGACAAAAATCTTATGTCAAAACCAGCAATTTGTTTTGGAGGAATAACTTGACTTACAGGGCCTGATTTACTTAGTTCGTCATATTCATAATTAATAGAAACAATGATATTCTGTTGTAAATTATTAGTTATCGTAAAACTCCTTGCAACACTTGAATAAACAGAAACTTGGCCAAAATTCATTGTTTCATGTGATGCTGTAACTAATAATTGTTGTGCTGGTGTTAATGGATGTGAACATTCATTGATTTCTGCTGGTGTTGTTGCTTTAGACTTGAACTTCTTCTTTATTAGATTATCGGAGTTATTCAACAATGTCTTGTTCTGATTTGAATTGTTGTTTTGTTCGTTATTTTCTGAATTCAAACCGTCATCAATTTCAAAGGATTTGAGAGGTATCTCAATTATGTGTAAAGGTGGATCAGGAGGTGTCAAACCGTTATCGTTCAAACCGTCATCCAACATATCTTCTAAACTTAATGAATGAGTCATATATTCATCTAAATCTTCTTTTGTATAATCGCCTTTTGTGTTTTCCAAATAATTTTTCGCTTTTTCCAACATTTTCTTTTTCTTTTCTTGTTCTTGTTGCCTCGTTTCTCGTTTTTTGCGTGGTTCTGACAGGTATTTATCAAAAACTTCTCTTTTCTCTTTTCGTCTTTCAAGTTCGTTGATATCATAACTGTATTTCGGATCTGGATGTGTGGCTCTGAATTTTATTTCTTCGTTTTCAAGCCATGGATCTTCTCTTTTGAACGGTTTATGATCGTCACCGGACTTTGTTGCATTGCCAATGAGGTTTAATGTCTTTGTTATCAGTCCTTCACTGAAAATTATCGGTGTTGAAATATTGAAATTTCCTAAAGTCTTCGGGAAGAAGATTACGTTGATTGTCTTTGAGGAATTTGGGTTGATAACACCTTTGGAAGGCTCAAAACGGAAGTGCGCTATCGGTTTGACCTTGTAAGAAGTTTGTAATGAAGAATTATTCTTTAAAACGAGCTGTTTGTTGCTTCTTGACATGACAGCTGTAGTATCAAACTGAAAATCTGTTGCTGATAATGATACAGAAAGAGGAACTGTCTTTCCTTCGAAAGAAAAATCAATATGTTGGGAAGTCTCAACGATTTCAACTGAACTGTAGTATTTATATTCTTTCTCATGCTCAAGAGATTCTTCATTGTCTGTTGGTGGATTGAAAACAAATCGTATTGGTGTAGATTGATAAGGATTTAAAGTTCCTTCTGAAGGAATCGCTGAAAATATCTGATTTCGCGATTGTGTTAAGTAATTATTAGTAACATCGAGACGAGATTTTTGTGTTGGAGTGTTTCTTGCTGGCATAACCACAAATGATCTTTTGTATTGGCCTTGGTTGACTATCTTAGCATCACAAACTCTTTTTTGTCCAACAAATATCGTTTGGAAGTCAATTAAACTTACTTCTTTATCATCTATCATTAAAGATAAAGAATGATTGACAGCATTACCAGTTACAGTCAAATAAGCAGGATCAAGATCTTGATCTTGTGTATTTACAGTAACTTTTAATGTAAATTCGCCAACTTGATGAGGTTTTATCGTTGCAGCAATTTCTGCTGTTTTATTTGGTAAAAGAGGACCTGTATTTGGTATAAATTCGACAGTTTCATCTTCGCATGTTACGTTAAATGTGCCTTCTCTTGTTCCAATGTTTGAAATTGAAAATGTAAATTTAGATTTTGTGTCTACACCTACATTTCCGATTGAAAGTGAAGGTAAATCGCATACAATTCTTGGACATGGTGGAAGAGCCATGATTGGTACTTTTGTTGAGTAGCCTGGAATTTCTATCGTCAATTCTTCTCGAATTATTTGTTGTTCTTGACATTTGTATTTTAATACTGCTTTTATTCCTAATCCTGGTGGAGTGAATTGTTGATTTTCGACAAAAATATTAAATTTAGAATCATTTTGCAATTTAAAACGAATTTGTATTGGTTTTCTTCCAACATTAGTTACCCAAACATCAATGGAGTCCATCTCACCCGGTTTCGAATCTCTGAAAACGATCGAATCGGGGACAACAGTGAACTCCTGTTGATTCTTCGTCATTTTAGTACGTTTTTTGAGAAAAGTGACAAAATCTTAAGCTAATTTATTTCATTTTTCAAGATCTGATCGATTTCATGTATAAACATATAAAATACTAGTAATAACTAATATGAATATCCAAACAAAATTATGTGAAATTGTCTATTGTTTTATAAATTTTATTATTTTAAGAGATTTTATAAGAATGTATAAATAATATTAAAGCGGTCGTATAGCTTATATTAAAATTGCTATCCATTTTGTTCAAATCTGTTCTGTTTAAAGTGGATATCTCAATTCAATGGGAAAAATAGTGATTTGAATATATTTCTCTTTAGCATATAAATCTAAATCAAACAATAGTTATAATCCAAACTGATAACTTTGAAAGTTAATGTTAATAACGAAGAATTCATGCAGTTCTATTAAAAAATTTAAACGTTAGTCATTTTGAACATGATCAAATGCTCACACAGCACAACGATAGTAAAACCTCAAATCCAAAAAGCAAATTCGGATAATTTAAATTTTGAGAGTGAACGATAGTAAGACCAAGGTAGAAAATATGTTTTGTCCAATGATGTCTTCTTCTTTTCGCGACCTTTTAAACAACCCGAACACATCTCTTCAAGATGTTCTCTTAGATGATTGTTGCATTTCAGCTTACAGGTATAATGATAACCAGTTAGTTTGGTTTTTGTTAGACAGAAGCGAAGAAATTCTAAATTTAGCCATTTATTCAACTAATGCCAAGGTTTCCTTGAAGGCTAATTTACTTTTATCAAAAGAATATCACGCATTAATTGATGATATTGTTGAGAAGGAAATTTTCGTTCCAACAATTGAAAGATATCTTGATAATGAACCTTCACCGGCTGTCATATGCAAAATTGCTAACTTAGCTTCAATTGTTTACGAATCAGCTGCATCTCAGTTTACAAGCGAGTTATTGATTAGATTCTTACCGCACATTGGTGATAAGATGATTCTTTCCTTATACGAAACAGTTCTTGAGAAAGCATCTGATCCAGAACAGTTAATTCCTTTAGTTACAAGTACACTTTCCGAAATCTCCAATTTCACAGGCTCTGTGACAGACGACGTTAATGATGAAAACGCTGTCCACCTCGGCGGCTTGTATAAGTTAACTTCATTGTTTAATTCGAATACGATTCTTTCCGAAATCGTCCAGAAACCAGAGAATATTGCTATTCTTGTGAAGAAGTTCGAGGTTGCCAATATAAATCTCCTTGATTCTCAATGGGAATGCATAGATCAATTTGTTTGTCAGACAAATGCAGCCGAACTTGAAAAATCCTTCGTTTCTGTTATACTACCACTTGTTGGAATATCCGATCCAGCATTATTCCATCAATACCAGGCTAAAATGCTTCATATTATTCTCAAATTAGCCCAAAACAGCGAAAACGTCAGAAAGATCCTTGTTGAAGTCAATTTCCATGCCGAATTACGCGAGATTGTCGAGACATATCCACATCATACCTTAGCACATTTAGCAGTTACAGATTTTATCATTGCAGCATCGAGAATGACCGAATTAGAGGCTTTAATTCTTACGCAAATGCTTCCATTATGCGAGAAAATACTTAGTAACCCAGATTCCCTCGTAGAACTTAGAGCATTTGCTTGGAACCTCATTTGCAAGTTCAGGGACACAATTAAGACAGGCAATGCCAGCAGCAACTTCCAGGAGTCAATTGAGGCTTTCGATGAAGTTAGTTCGAAGAGAGCTGACGAATTATCTGAAATCGCAAACTCAGACTACGGAGGACCACTTCCTGACTTATCAATCAGTGCTGATACTGACAGTTTCTTATCGAATCTCACTCAGCAACAGGTTATGCAGCTTCTTAGATTGTTGACGCAGAGACCAAGATAATCTTCTCCATTATAGTATATATCGTTGTATCTATTATGTGATCTTAAATATTTCTATTTGAAATCTATTTTTTCTTGGCTTTTGAGTGATTTTAGTTTCATGATTTATTAAATTTAATTGGAAGCCCAAATATATGCGCGAACCAACAGAGAATTGACGATTTTTTGAAGTAATCACTAATTTCTTTAATCGTTTGCAAATTACAATTTTTCGCGTGACTTTTTCCCTCAATTTTTGAAAAAGTCAGCGCGAAAAATTTTGCACCTTTTTTGCACTTTTTGAGCGAAGCTCAAAAAGTGCAAAAAAAGGTAGAATTCTTTATGCCTTCAAAATTGGCAATGATCCTTTTATGCATTTTTAACGGTTCTATAGAAAACGAAAAAATTGACTAAAAATTGAATTGGCGAAAAAACATAAATGAGCTTCATTTAGTCATATTTTAATCAAGAAGATTTCAAAAAAGTTCAATGAGTTATTAACTCATCTTCATTTCGCCATAATGCTCATTGTTTTCCAACGTTCCAACTCAAACTTAGCTCAAATTGCTTTTCTAATTTCGCGAGAAATTAGCCAACAGTCTTACCAACGCCTTTCATTCCTTTTGCCAACGAAAGGATGCCCTATTTTCAATACAAACTTGGGCCATATCCTCACAATATCTTAATTATTTTATTAATTTTACTTAATTTTGTTTTATTTTGTTTTTTTAAGAATAAAAACGTCGCCATATTCAATGTTTTGTTGCATGCTAAGTAGTGTCAATGTGTAAACCTCTCAATTTTATCATCGGGGAAGCAACACAATTCCCTCAAAAATATTGAAAAAATATAGAAAATAAAATGAATTAAGATGTACTTAAAATGAGAAATAGATTATGATATTAGATTTGAGAAAAAACAGACTTCTGATATAACTTTTGAGAATCTCATATAAAAAAAGCTTTAAAATAAAATTTAAATATCTTATTTATTTTACTATTGTAAAATATTCTGAGATTTTTAGAAAAAAACACTTTTCATAAGTATTCAATATTTGAGAATACGGTCCAAAAAAAATAGATTCTCTTATATTTGCTTATATAAAAGGAAACTCTCTATCAGATGCGAATGCATGAATTCAGCACCTCTGATAGAGAGTTTCCTCTTATATAAGCAAATCTTTTTCATGAGTTATTGTTAATATAAAAACATAAAAAGCTACCAATATGAGAAATTAAACCCTGCGAGGTGCCAGTCTAGAACTGGCACTTCGCAGGGTTTAATTTTTCTTGACAAATGACAAAATTTGTTCGCAATTGTGAACCATTGCGACCAAGTTTGCCAGATATCTGGAAGGAATTGCTCCTTATGATATATGCATTGTAACTGTATATATCATAAAGAGCAATTCCTTCAATTAAACGCAAAAACTTTGGTGCAATCGTTGCTGATTGCACCAAAGTTTTCGAACTTTCCCGAGGGAATTGGAGGGTGAGAGATACATAGTCTATCTATGTACCTCCCACCCTCCAAATCCCACTCTAAATGGGAGAAACTTTGTTCGCATGTTATCTTATTCAAACAAAGTTTCTCCCATTTAGAGAAGGAATAGGAGCCTACCAGGCACTGATATATAATCAGTGCTTTGTAGGCTCCTATTCCTAATAGAAAGTTCGAAAACTCGGTCGCAATTGCATCTGATTGCGACCAAGTTTTCGAACTTTCCCGAGGGAATTGGAGGGTGAGAGATACATAGTCTATCTATGTACCTCCCACCCTCCAAATCCCACTCTAAATGGGAGAAACTTTGTTCGCATGTTATCTTATTCAAACAAAGTTTCTCCCATTTAGAGAAGGAATAGGAGCCTACCAGGCACTGATATATAATCAGTGCTTTGTAGGCTCCTATTCCTAATAAAAATTTGAAAACTTTGGAGCATTTGATTATTGTATTTTGTCAAGAAAAATTAAACCCTGCGAAGTGCCAGTTCTAGACTGGCACCTCGCAGGGTTTAATTTCTCATATTGGTAGCTTTTTATGTTTTTATATTAACAATAACTCATGAAAAAGATTTGCTTATATAAGAGGAAACTCTCTATCAGAGGTGCTGAATTCATGCATTCGCATCTGATAGAGAGTTTCCTTTTATATAAGCAAATATAAGAGAATCTATTTTTTTTGGACCGTATTCTCAAATATTGAATACTTATGAAAAGTGTTTTTCCTAAAAATTTAATATAATGCTGAGCATAATATATAAAATTAAAATATCTATAATTATTTTCTATATCACACTTTTCATTACACTTTGAAAAGTCTTCTCAAACTCTATTTTTAATTATTTTTTAGATATATCTCAAGTGTGATTATTCAAAAACTCATATAGACTATATTTATTTTTTTGATTCAAAAAATTATATGAGAATCTCAAATTAACTTTCAAATTTTTTATTTTAAAAACATATTAATAATCATATTTTAAGATACTTTTTCGCCCAAAAAATAATCGTACTTCCTCGACGATTAATAGGCTCTCAATTTCTATCATTGACACTACTTAGCATGCAACAGTTTAGTTACTTTTTTCGTTTTCTAAAAGAACCTTAAAAGTGCAAAAAAGGGCCTGCCAATTTTGAATGCAAAAGAATTGATTCTTTTTATCTTCCAAATTATTGGAATCGAAGTAGTAGGGTATGAAGGGTTTAGTGACTTTTTTTGTAATCGTAAGAATTCACACAATATTGACCGATTTTGTAAGTAATTTTCATACAATCGATAAAATAAATGTATGATTCTTACGCTTTTTATTCTTACGTTTTGAAATAAATCATAATTTAAAAATTCATGTCTTACATTTTAAAATAATTTAATTTTTTTTATTTTGGAAGAAATGAGCGTCAAAACTAACAACGTTAAAAAATTAGGATTCACAAACGAGGAAATAAAGGATATATTAGAGGAGGCGGGTTATGAAGTTGATAAATATTATTTAAGAAATTGTAAAAAATTTGCCGAGTTATTAAATGATTTAGATTATGATGGAAAAATGAATAAAGATGATGTTATAAATTTCTTATATCCCACATCTGAAGAAGAAAAACCTAAAGAACCTGATGTTTTCCCTGAATATTATGAAGAACGGATTAAAGATGATGAATACAATGAAATTGAAAGACTGAAAAAAATAAGAGATGAAATAGATGAAAAATTAAGGAACTAAGAGAAGTTGAAAAATATAATGAAAATGAAGTAGAGGGTTTAATGAATATCCCAGCTTCAGAATCAGAAGTTCAGAAATCTCATGAAGAAAGATATAAAAATTATGTCTCAGAATCAACACAAAATTTATTAGATGGTGAAATAGACGAAACACTTTCAGAAGAAGGTACTAAATTTATACGTAAACATAAGTTACAATTTATTGATAATGAAGAATACCCTTGTATCTTATTTTCACCCCCTCTCGATTCTGAGAAATTCAAAAAAGCTCTTAAAAACGTGACATATGCAACTAATACGATTAAGAAAGAAGATCATGATATTTACACAAATTATTATTTAAATAAATGCACAGGTGTTGATAAAGTTTTTGATTTATTAGATAAAATATCAAAAGAAACCATTGGAACCTATAAAATTTTATGTGATTGTGGTTTCATTATTGAAGATACTAATAATGTTTCATATGAAAGAACAGCACCGAAGGAAGATGAAGTTGAAAGGTCTATACCATTCGTTATTAAGAATATAAAAGATATGAAAACGTATAAGCATTATATTTATTCATTTATTTCAGAAAAAATGGAAGCAACCCATAAAACATCTTCTCATCATTTTATAGCTATTCATACATTCCTTTTCAAAGTTGTGAAATTAAATAAGACAGGAATTAGATTTAATGTATCAGGGTACGCATTCTTGAGTAAATTAAAATGTATTCGTCACGTCGCAGATGATAAAAATTTATGTGTTCTTAATTCATTTTATGGGCTTTAAAAAATAAACTTTATTTTTATTTATTTTTTAATTTTTTATTCTTACATAAATGAACAAAAACGGAACAGCTAAAATGAATGATAATCAAATTAGAGCAGAAGGTAGAAGGTTATTTAAACGCTTCTATAAAATTCCTGATGGTGTTAATCCTAAAACTCGTAGAAGCTATTTAAATGAAGCAATAGATGCATATGAAGGGTTTGACATTTCATCAGAAAGTGAGAGATTAGCGAGAATGTTAAATGTTAATATTGATTTCTATTATTGTGATCCTCAACCAGAAGACGTGGACATTAACAAGGTAGACTTTCCATTAGTGGAATCAATAATGATAGATCCAGAATTTGAAACAGTAAATATTTTATTAACACAGAGTCCATGTGGAAAACTTCACGCTGACAGAATAACAGACGTTGAAGCACTCACCGGCTATAAAGTTTGTCCATATTGTAAAGAAGAAGTTTATTCTATCCGTGATGATCCAGAAAGGAAAAACCAAAGAAGATTTTTAAAGCATTGTGAGAAATGTAAAGAAAATAATGGGAGATTAATTCAAGACGTTCAGTTGCAAAAGACACAGCAACCATATGCACCACATATTACGAAACAGAAGATATATCAGTGGTTATTAGCTCACAATTTGCAGAAATATTATAAACCGACAAGATATTATATTACTTTTGACTTTGAAACATTAGAGACTAAAGAAGAATTACAACTTTCTGAGTGTGCAACTTTGAACGCTTACTTAAAACCATTCATGGTATCATCAACGGTTAAATTAAACGATAAAACATATACGAGGAATTTTTGCTTAACTTCGAGTGATTCTTTTATTTCTGATTGGATTGAGTTTTTATTTTCAACCTGTTCATTAGTTGCTAAATCAAATATTGAACAATATGAAGAATTATTGAAGTCGCAAACGGCGGGGACTTTGTCCCATACATTAAATGAAAAACAGAAGGAAGCATTTAAAGAACTTCTAGATGAGGAATTCAATAAAGTGAATATCATAGGTTTTAATTCGGGAAAGTTTGATTTAAATTTAATTCTTCGTGATTTAAACACTGCAAAATGGAAAATAAAATCAATGCTGGGTTCTTCTTCTCAATTTAAGCAAATCATTGTAAAGAAAACAAACGCTCCATATGAATTGAGATTTATTGACATCAGAAATTATATAGCGGGTGGGACATTAGACCAATTCACTCAAGATTTCGGAAACAATAAATCACGTGTTAAATCCTTTTTCCCTTATCAATTTATCACATGGAGGAATTACGAAGAAGAATTATATAAAGTGGAACCATTCACTCAAGATTCATTTTATTCGGCATTAACTCAAGAAACTATATCAGATAGTGATTATCAAATATATCTCAATGATGCTAAAAACTTTAAGAATAGATTAGAATATTTTATTCATTATTGCAATAAAGATGTTGAAATTATGATTGACCCAATCGATAAAATTATTGAAGAAACATTTGTTTATAAAATTGATATGCTTCATAATCTTTCTTTATCATCGAATGCTTCAATGATTCGTTACGCTTTAGCATATAAAGACTTTAATCCTAATGAAAAATATCCTGAGGAAGAGATAGGATCAAGTTTTGAATTAACGAAAAAGTATTGGAAATATAAAATTGTATCATATAAGAAACAAGATGAAAAAGCAGAAAGGGATACTAAAAATAATGTTTCAATGGATGATTTTCAATACTATCACGATTTAATCCTTTCATCTAAATGCAAAATGTGTGGTAAAGCGTTTACATATGCAAATAAACCAACATTGGATAGAATAGATAATGAAAAACCACATACCAAAGAAAATTGTCAGTTAATGTGTTGTTATTGCAATGTCGTAAAATCAAATAAAGATGAAGATGTTCAACGTTGAAGAATCAATTTAAGAAATTATGCATTAAAAAATAATTTACCAATGACTTTAGATTCAGTTGAAGCTTATCACATTCTCCGTAATGGAATTACTGGTGGTTTATCAAATGTTCAACATAGAGTAAATCTTAAAGGAATCACGCACATTAATAAACTTTCATATAGTCCAGAAGCTAAAACTGTATCAAATGAGGACACTACCAACATTATGACTCATTTCGTTGGTGTTGATTTTAATTCATTATATCCTTCATCATTTTCATCTAATCCTCATGATTTCATTCAATATACTGACCATAAAATGTATATGCCGGGAAGATTGAATGGTGTTATCATTTGTGATACAGCAACAAAGAAAGCAAAAGCACTGGGAATAATTAAGAAGAAAAATACTTTATTCGTGGCTGAAGTAAAGGGTCACATTGATGAAAAATACATTAATGATTACATAAACTTTTTACCGATAATAAGAAACTTAGATATTATCACAGATGAAAAAACAATTGGCAGTTTTATGTATAATTACATGAAATCAAACAATCTACCAGTTGACCAGAAACAGAGGAAATTAACTCAGTTAGCATCAACATACAACCAATATCAACCATTTTCTTCTTATTATCTTTGGTATCTAATCGACAGATTTCATTTTATCATCGATGATATTCAATCAATTTTAACATTTACTAAAAACACTTGCTTTAATGAATTTGCGAATGAATTTATGAACGAAAGACAAAAGGCTGAATTAGAAGGAAATAAAGGAAAAAGTTTATTTTGCAAGATTTCGCTTAATGGATCATATGGTTACGATGCAATGAATACACAAAATTACGCAAAGACTAAAATAATGAATGCACAGAAGGCACGCGTTGCATGTATGTCAAATAAGTTTAAAAACATAAGAGAAATAGGTGAAGATACATATCAAGTGATGCTTAAAGATAGATTTTATAGATGTGATACATGTTTACAAGAGGCATTCTTCACTTTAGATAACGCAAAATACTGGTATTTAGTTTTCATTTATGATTTTATGTATAAATGCATGGATGTTAATCGTTTTCATTTCATTGAAGGTGATACTGATTCATCTTATTGGGCAATCGCTGGCGACCCAAATCTTCCTAACACTCAAGCATTTCAAGCAATTGTTACCGATAAACAATTTTATGATAAAAACATTTTCAAATTCGCACCATTTGATTTCTTCTGTTTTGATGAGAAATTTAAACCTAAATTAAAGAATAAAGCTGAAGAAAAAGCACATGAGAAGAAGTTATTGGGTTTAGCAATTGAGAAACAAGGTGATAACATGGTTGCTTTATGCCCTAAGTGTTATACATCATTCAACGGTTCAATTGATGGAAGTAATTTTAAAAAGATTGCACAAAAAATGAAAGGTGTTAGTTTACGACAAAATAAGCAATTAACACCTAAAAATTATTTGGATATAATAAATGATAAAGTTATTTTCGATGGTCAGAATATTAATTTACAACTTAAAAACGGGTCAATGACTCGCTTAACAATCGGTAAGACTGCATTAACAGGAGCACACACTAAGGCTGTATGTTGTGAAAATGGATGTTGTATGCCATTTATTTAATACAATTTAAAATTTTATTTTTAATAAAATGCCACAGAAGAGACAAAAGGAACCGTTAATGATGCGATTCAATATGTAAATAATGGTTTTGATACTATTATTCAAAGAGGTGGGCACCCTTAAAACATTTATTTTATTTTTATATAAATGGATAACGCAGATTTAAAAAATTTAATTTATGATTTAGTACTTAATCAAAATTTTCTTAATTATTATGAATTAAAATCATATCTCCAAAAACATAATAACAATATAACGGGTGATGATATGGATTATTATTATCCATATTATAAAAATGAAATTTTGAAATATCATGATAAAATAATTTCTAAAATTAAAGACAAAATTAAAAATAATGAATATACAAAGGGAAAAACTAAATCACAACTTAAACAGTTGAAAGATTTCAAAAATAAAGTATTAACAGAAGAAGATATTGATGAATTATATAAATTATATAATCCTGAGCCGCAAAAACCAAAGGAACAAAAACAAAAGGTGCAAAACGCCCAGGTCCTTCAGACCATAAATGAAGCACAAGCTTTAATTTATGATTCATTAGTTAAATCATATTCAGCCCGACTTTTAAATGAAGATCAACTTTTGGAATTCATCCTTCAACATAAACTCGAAGCGGGAAAGTATATCAAACCTTTATATACAGCATATTTAAAACAAATGAATAGAATACATCCAGAATTAATGAAGGGAGGAATGAAATCCAAAATCAAAGCAGATAAAATTAAACCACTTACAACACCAAAACCTCCAACGACAGTACCTCCTCCTCCTTCAGTTAATCCTTCATCATTCACTTTATTATATCCATTTCAAACATTTAAGAAGCAAAAAGATTTTAAAAAGGATTTCAAGATATTAAATAAACCAATTGACCCGAAAATTCAACCATTAAAGGAAAAATTTAGTCGACCTTCATTTGCTCCATATCCATATTCATACGAAATTGATCATCTGGAATATTCAAAAGGAAACGTTACTTATTTATTTGCCATTAACATTAACACTAGATATTTATATTGCATTCCGGTGAAAGGGAAAACAGAACAGGAAACAAGAAGAGCTATTCAATACTTACTAGATCATGAAAGAGTAGATAATATCAGGGGTGATGGTGATAAAGGATTTCAGGCAGCTATGACTCATTATTTCCCACAAATTAATTTTTACTTTTCATCCTCTCCATATACGTTTCATAATAAAATAGTTGATGCGGTAATGAGAACTCTTAGAGATGCGTTAGGGGTTAACGGTCAGATATACTGGGATGGAAATCATGACTCCATCATACAGCAGTTAGTATATTATTACAATAATACATGGCATAGAACTATAAACATGAAACCAGTGGAAATGAAAAATGATATTTCAAAAGAATGGGAATATATTAGAAAGCAAATGGAAAGGTTAAATGATGTTAAACGTGAACAAATTAATTCAGGGCTCATGAATTTTAAACAAGGGGATAAATTTTTTTCATCTCGATTATGGAAAAACTGATAAATCAATGACAAAAAGAAGACGAAGATTTGACACAATAGCTGAATTTGTTAGATATATTAACGGCAATGCATTAGTTGAAGTTGACAATAAATTAATAGAAATTCCGATTTATTTTATTACTCCATTATATTTAAATAATATTTAATTTTTTTTATTTTGTAAGAAATGAGTGACAACGAAGCATCCAAGAGTCCTGATTCAATTAAGATTCAGAGCCCAGACGATGAATATAAAAAGAAACTAAACGGAATTAAATCAAAAATATGCTATTACAAAAAGAAGCTGCAATGCGGTGGGGTTGATGCCCATAAAACTAAAGTAATTGAAAACGATAAAGAGAGGAAAGAAATAATCGAAAAATTAGAAACTTACCGTTCAATCCTTAAACTGAGTGAAGCAAAAATAAAAGAATTTAATAGAATAAATAAATTGATTGGAAGAGATGAATTTAATAAAGATGAATTTTTAAACTCTATCCAAATTTAATTTTTATTCCTCTTCGACAGCGTCTCGAAGAGACGCCGAACCCTTCTGGGTTCTTCTTTCCATCATTACTGCATAACCGCATCTTCTCGGTTTTCGTGGTTTGTTGTTTTTAATTCGTTCTTGCATTATTTTTATCATTTCCTCCCTTGTTATGGTTCGTGGTAAATTTTGAGCTTGCGGGGTATCCATTTATATAAAAATAAAATTTTGTTATCAGTTATTTTATCGTTAATGGTTTTTAGGTTATTCAATAATTAATTATTTTGAAGAACTGAAGGTGTCACTACGTCACCATGTCACCAGGTTAATTAACTTCTCTTAAAATTACTGACAACATGACATTTTGACATCACAGCGGGATTAATGCAAAAATAAATTCCAATCATACTTTATACTGCAAGACCTTCAGGTCTCGCCGCTTAGCGGCTCATTTACAGGTATTTCATCATCGGTAAATGAATCCTCATTATCGTTTGGTTCAACCTGTTTATATAATCCTTTCATTTCTTCTTTCAAAACATAACACCATGTTTGTTTACCATCTATTCTTCTCTGTTTCCTATCACATTTATCCTTAATGCTCATTTGGAAATTCTTGTCTTTCATGTCTGATGGTTTGCAGCATAGAGCATTTTTACACGTCATACCTGCACACAATTCATCATAATGTGTATTTATCCATACATCTAAAGGATTTGTTGATAATTCTATTAAATCTTGTTTGGCTTCAGTCATCGGAATGATTCGTACATTAAATGATGAAAGGTCATATTGCATAAAATACGTCAGTAAATTATCATAAAATTCCTTAGTGCATGAATCCATTAAATTCTTGAAGTAATCAAATTGACCCTTGAATTTACCATTAACTCTTAAAACTACGTATCTTCTGTCTCCAACTTCAATTTTGACAGGGTATATGTTATTAGTTACCAAAATGAAATTGGCAACATTCTGAGCAGTTCTTCTGGGTTGATTCTTTTCATTAATTCTAATCTCATTATCCGTAATAATTGATTTCAAAGCGTTGAAGTTTGCGAGTCTGTCTTCACCTACATTCTTGAGTTCATTAAGTACAAGAAACATTTTATTTTCAACTACTGAGTTGAAATTACCCGTTAGCTCACCTATTTCAGTAATGTTTTTACATGAATAACCGGCGAGAAGTTCAGAAATAATATCTGTAAATCTGTTTTTACCTGTTCCCTGAAGTCCTTTCAAAATAATTGCTGTTTCATTCTTGATTCCAGGATGTTGAATCATTGATGCAATCCAGCCGAGAAGGTATTTATACACTTCATCGTTATTATCACAAATGGCTTCTTTAATGAAATTCATAAACATCTCAATTTTTGAGTAATCAGGCTTTTCGAGAACGTTGTATTTATAACCTTGAAACGTTGAGAAAACATCTGGAGAATCAGATTTAAAGCAAACACCCTTAACGGTTAATGAGGATAATTGATTTAGTAGTACGTCCCATGCTGTTATGGTTTTACCTTCTTCTTTAAATAATTTAATCATTTTGAGTGACTCTTTCATGTTTGATTGAAGAACGAATGATATTTGATTCATTTTGTCGTGGATATTATAGTCCTTTTGAATGAAATATTTATTTCCACAATCTACAAAACGGATTACACGTGATAAATCCTCAATTACTTCAGAACTGTTTTTATACTGATGATTTTCAGCCTTGCGTCTAATATCTGTTATCAAAAACGAGTCATCAAGTTTTATATCAAATGTTATTTTTGGCTTACGTAATAAAGGTAAAACGTATTCATCATAATATTCCTTTTGATATAGTTTTAGAATCTTCACTAAAACAAATGGAGAAGTCATTAAATGAGCATATCTACTACGTGCTTTTTCAAAATTACTTTTTGCATTTTCAGTTAAATTGCAGAAGTTATAAACGTTATCGTATGCTTCATTAATTAAATGATTAGGTAACGAATTAATTGCTTGAAACAGTGTGAATAATGTAACTTCTTTTTCTAAATTCATGTTTCCACCGTCATTATGTACTTCAAAATCACTGATGCCATCAACTATGCTCTGGGCAAGTTTATCGTCAATGTTTACATCTTTGTTTTCATTCATGATAGTCTTTATTTCTTCGTTCTTCTGTTCAACTCTTACCTTAATATTCAAATCATTTAATATATCATTCACTGTTCTGGTTAATGTTGAATCGTAACTTCCACGAATGAATGAGTATGTATTGATTGGTTCTGTTGCATTCTTGCGAACTCTTGAATCAGCCATAACTACTAAAGAACGCTTTGAATCATCCATAGAAGTCATTATGTCAATATCATAATCATTGCAGGAATAGCATTTAATCATTCTGTTCGAAACTGAATAGAAGAAATTAGTGTTGCAATAAATGTGAAGACCTCCTGAAGCGGTTTTAACGATAACATCTTTATCCGAAAGTTTTGATAAAATATCTTTTCTAACTGTTTCTTTAAGTTCATCATTGTATGATTTATTGATATCAACATCTATAATCGTTAAATTTGAAATTTTATTTACTAATAAAGCCATACCAGTTTTCCTTCCTCTTCCTCCATCATGTTTGAGATAGTTATGTAAATCAATCTTGTTTTCACCAATTCTTTCGTTGAGGGTTTTAGTTTCTGCCACAACTAATTCCTCAGCTAATGAATCAATGATATTTTCATCAGAAATGATAAAGTTGCTGTTGTTGTTTGTTGCTGTCATTTATATAGGAATAAAAAAATAAAAATAATTTTAAAACTAACTTTATTTTTGGACTGCATCAAATTTCCCGGACTGTTGTCAAAATGTCATGTTGCCATCATTTTTAAAGAAGTTAATTAACCTGGTGACATGGTGACGTGGTGACACCTTCAGTTCTTCAAAAATAATTAATTATTGAATAACCTAAAAACCATAAACGATAAAATTTATTTCTGCAGTTCATCCGCTACTTCATTACCTAATTAATTACAGACATAAAATATATTTAGTTCATTCGGTACCATGCAAATACAGTCATAAATGGTGGCATGTAATCTTCACCTGAGCCTGTTGGATTTGTTGTGAAAGTATGGACATGATTTCCTCCCGGTTCAGTTTGTCGAAAAGTCTTTCTTGTTGAATCGTTATAAGCTGGAGATAAAACATCATAACCAGCTTCATAGTCTGAGTTGTATAATGGGTGGTCTCTTAATGAGTGTCTATGGTCGCCAGAAAAGTTTGTAGTTCCTGTATGCTTATGCGGTGGAAGGTTTGCTTCTTTAATTTTCTTTGAACCGCCTGCTTGCTTTGAAGAGTTAGCACAGTATAAGAATTTATCTACAATCTGCTGCCATGTACCAAAACCTAAAACGCTTGCTGGATTTGTTGAGTTCATTGATGTATATATTGAACCAATGGGGTAAATCATCTCAAGAATTGTATTTAATCCATTATGAATATTGAATTTATTATATAATATTGAAACTGGGTGAGTATTTAAAACCGGTCTTGTCATCAATATTAACATATTATTTTTGAAAATTGCTTTTCTAACATCTTGAAATTTTGTGATTTCAGACCAATTTCTTCCATCACTACTGATATTTACTAAATCACCACATCCAAAAGCAATGAAATACCCATCAATATAAAATAAATTTGTAAATCTATAATTTCGAGTAAGTTTTGGAGTGAATGAATAAACCAATTCCCAACTTGGTGTTTTCTCTGGATCCTCTGAAAAATCCCGTGATAAATAAATATGTCTGTTATAACTTACAGGATATGAATAGACCATACCACCTGAAACAAGAACACAAACATTTGAAGCATAACATAAAGCTTCAATGTCTCCATCAGCTTGAAAAATTTGTTCAAATTGACCTTGTGGTATTGAATATGATCTATAAATTTTATCATTTTGTAGGATAAAATACATGTTGTTAATGTAATACCACTTACTTGTATAATCAATTTCCAAATCTGATGACATCATACTAAACATATAATAATTTATCCCATCCTCACTAATGAAAATTTGATTGACTTCATAAATTAGTACCCATTTATTATTAACGCATCTAATAGGATTATTTGGATATTTAAATTTAGCATCTTGATTTAAATTACATTTGAACCATTGGATACAATCGAATGAATAACAAGGGCAAAAATCATCTCCAACCATTATCATTCCAATAAATTTACCATTATTATATTCAACATATAAAATTCTTGGATTAATGATTGGCTTTCGTGTATCAGGATTCCAAACAGATGGAGTAAATGATTCATAGTTTTTAAAATCATTTGTTTTAAAATAATAAAGCACCCCAGCTGTATAAAATAAATACATGGTCACTCCATCGAAACATATCCATTCAAAAGAATCTATATCAAAGGTTTTATCTGATGATTTCATAAAATTTAAAAATGGTGGAGTAAAATAGACCTCTGATTGTTTTATTTCTTCATTAACAAATGATATATCAGCTTTCTTTGCTAACTCAGTATTAATGAATGAAATAACTTTTTCCTTATCTGCCTTCTTATTTAACTCAGTATTAACGTATTCCTTATCTGCTTTCTTCATTAACTCGTCGTTAACATAAGTTTTATCCGCTTTAAGGTCTAAACATCCTGAAACCCATCCTGTATCAGCTTTAACTTTAAAAGTCTCCAATGCCCATTCATGATACCATTCAACCTTTTCTTTAATTTCATTATCTTTTTCATCAACATAAGTTTTATCTGCTTTAAGGTCTAAACATCCTGAAACCCATCCTGTATCAGCTTTAACTTTAAAAGTCTCCAATGCCCATTCATGATACCATTCAACCTTTTCTTTAATTTCATTATCTTTTTCATCAACATAAACCAAATTTGCCTTCTTCATTAACTCACTATCCACGTATTCCTTATCCGCCTTCTTCATTATGTCATTTAGGAAACCTTCTATGAATTCCTCATTTAAATTAAATCTTCCAATCTTCAAAACTTTAGGAAATGCATTTAATGCGTAATATCTCTGTTCTTCTGGTGGAATTGATGTTATATCATCCGTTATTCCTTTAATTTTTGAATTCATAAATAAAATTTCTTTTATATTTGATATCACTGCACCACCTTTGCAAACGAATTCGAAATGGTCATTTTTCAATACTATAGGGTGTCCAAAGGTGTGTTTAGCACAAACCTGAATACTGCGAATAGAAATAAACAAGTTACATATATATAAAGTTTATTTAAATATAATCACCATTGGATTCAATCACGCGTTCGCAGCGATCGATCCAGGCTTGAAAGACACGCTTGAAATCATCATGAGAAAATTGCTCAAATTGCTCTCTTACAAAATTTTCAAGATCATCTGGACTCGCGAATTCGCGTCCTTCAGCTCTCTTTTTTAGCGTGCCGAATAAATAAAAGTCAGAGGGTGCAATATCAGGTGAATAAATTGGGTTTGGAACAACTTTGACATTGTTTTCCAACAAGTAATTCATTACCTTATGACTTTTGTGAACTCTGAATTATCAAAATGAATTGCAAACTTTTGTTTTTGTTGTTTGGATTTCTCAAACTCATCAGAATTGATAATTTGAGTAAGAACATTGTCATTAGATACTGAGCATTCATCGTATTAGGTTTTTGAAGAATATCAATTGCGATGATGCCATTCACGCCCCAAAAAACCGACAACATCATCATTGGTGTGTCAATTTTTTCTTCGGGAATGTTTGCGGATTTTCATCCTTCGGCCACATGATTTTGGCTTCTGTTGCATATTGAAACAAGATCGTCCCCTGTTACTAAAAAGCGAAACTTCTTGATTGATACGCACCCAATATAGAGAGGACTCTTTCGAAGATGGACTCTAGATTTTTTTTGAACTGAATTAAGGTTGTGCGGAACCCAACGTATACGCTAGTTTGTAGTTCAAATAATGTGCAGATAATAACTGACTGTTGTACGTGGTATCTTTGTCATCTCCTCTATCCTTCTGAGTGACTCTTGGGTCTCATCTAGCGCTTGAAAATTGCTTTGATTTTTCTTTGATCCGGCGATTTTTTGTCAATTTTATGATGGGCGCCTTTTGTTCATGAAGTGATACATCCTAACATGATACGTTACAGTGGAATAGCTAGGACATCCATACCGAAGCATTTACCAATGTCTCGTAGATTTTTTACAGTCTTTGCATTTTTTGCAAGAGCGAGGATGTTTTCTTTATGATTCATTAAAAAATGAAAAAATCCCGCCAAAATTTCCCGCGAAACCGCCTCTTGTCTCAAATTCATTTTATATCCGCGGCATGGCGCAAAAAATACTCATCATATACATATATTCATATTTTTTATTATATATTTATAATCAGCATATATCTCCTTTAATAGTCTCATATAGAGCGCTATGCTAAACGCACCTTTGGACACCCTATATCTCCAAATCTCCATATTTCAACCTTTGCGTTTGTTCTGCCGTCTTTGAATTATATGCATATGTGGCGTATGTAATGGTCTGAAGGACCTGGGTGCTTTGTGTCTTAAGTTGCTGTGGTTGCTGTTGTTTAATCATTTATTATGATTTAAAAATAAATATTTAATCCGTTATCTCATCAGCTATTTTCTCTATTTGAAATTGCCATAATATTTCATTCATAAATTCTAAATCACAATCAAATAGGTCAGTTATTCTAAATTTAATATTTGATAAATCTTTTGAATGAAGAATAAATGAATTCCCGGATAATTGAAACGGATATGATAAAGAAAATGTGTTTAAGTTGATGGATAAAATGTTTTGTATTGATGGGTAAGAGTTAGGGTCTAATGTTTGATGTGAAAATCTCATTGGGGTATTAACTTTATCACATTTGATTAAAATGAAATTGGAACCAGTGTCAGAATACAAAACATCCCCAACATCTTTTTCAAAATTTAATATCCCCAACAATGAACGAAGATGAGGAGTACAAAATTTAATTTTCAGCGGAATTTAATAAGGTTATTTATTTCATCAAGTTCAAAAAGTTTATCAGGTTTTGATTTAAAATTTTCTTCATACCATACGATAAATGATTCATTTAAATAACTTAAAATCATGTTAATATCCCATTTCGCTATCACATTATTTATATACATATCATACGTTTTTTCAAGGTCATCTTTAATAAATGATATATAATCTGAAGGGTCTAAAAGAATGGGATTAAATTTACCACTCACAGAAACGAGAGTAACATTAAAATTCCGCTAACTGTTAAATTTAATTCACAGTTATTATTCGAAATAATATTGATATTGACATTTTTATTACGATTAAAAATATGGTAAAGCGTTATTTTCCAGTGATAAATAAAACTAGAATAAGATTACCTCAAGAATTCATAAATTCAACGAATAAGAAATTCATTCATGTTATAAATTTTAGTGTTTTCAGAAAATATGAGTCAGTGTCATATTCATCAACAGGTTATATTTCACTTCATTCAAATTTAGTTCAATCAAACCCATATAATGACCATTTCATAAGATTTTCAGATGGTATTAAAAATGTAATTGATAGATTAAAATATGAACAGATTGACAATATCGAATTTTTGGAATTTTGGTTTAAATATCCCGATGGAAAAAAGATTGAAGTTAAAGATAAAGCTGATACTATAACAAAAACAATTACAATGACCGATCCGGATAGTGGGGAACAAAAAGAAATAAAACAAACGATAGAAACTGGTGAAAGGTCAATTATTATTGATTATGATTCAAAGGATTATTATTCGATAATGTTAATGCTTGAATATTAAATAGCCTTAACAAAGAATTTTTCAAGTGATATTTTATATTCATCAACTATTTTATTATAAATATCATTATATGTTAAATGAAGTTCAGTTGTTGTTCCGTTCTTTGATATCTTAATTGTGCTAATATCCTTTATAGGATTTATTTTTGCAACTGTTCCGCAGCATGAAACCTCATCATCTATGAAAAATTGAATCTTAACGTCTGAATCTTGAACATCACAAAGAATGGCGATAATATGAATTAATGATTCATAAGGTAAAATAATTAAACCGGATTGATCAATTAAATTTATTATTGAATCATAATTATTAATTATTATATCGCGGTAAATTTTCATTAATTCAGAATTAATGTCTATTTTATATGGGTTCTCGATGTTTGATGAAAGAGGCGGGGGGTATGTTGGATAAGTGGGAATTTCAACAGGTTCTTTACCGGGTTCAGATAAAATGATTGGGTCTCCGTCTTCTTTATTTTGCTCCTCCTCCTTTTTCGGTAAGTCACGAGTTAATAAATTTGGTTGAGTTGCTGACCTTGTTAATTCAGGGCTAACATTAACTTTAACATTTTGAATAATTCGTGATTTATCATCATTTACGTTATAACCAACCGTAATCTCTGCTTTTGCGTTAGTGTTCTTTTGACTAGTGAAACGTCTTCTCATTTATAATCGAATAAAAAAATATATTTAAACTTTTATTTTGCCGGAAGTTTTGAATCTATTATTCCCTGTATTTGTTCTTGAAGTTGATTTTTAGCTGGTTCATTGTAATTAATAGACCTAATATATTCATTAATTGCATTCTTATAATCATCTGATTTCTCAAATTTTCTTTTATCTGATTCCTTAACTAAATCATAAGTTAAACCTCGTTGCTGATATAATGGTTTCTTAATTAAATCTTTGAATGCTTGAGATAAAGCACCTGATGCAATTCTTGCTACTATAATTGGTTGGAATTGATGTTTAAGTTCATCTTTAACATTTGCGAAAACTGGATCGAATAAAGCAACTTTAAAGAATTTCTTAGCTGAAATTTCAGGTCTAATATTTGCATATGACCATCAAACTGGTTAGAATATCGTGGTAATCCATCCGGTCCCTCTTCAATAGCATTTAATTCTTCATTGAAATAAGAATATGGATTATAACGGTATGAATTAATTGGACCATTTCACCTTCTCCAATGTATTGTTTAACAGCTTTTCCATTTTCATCAAATTGCATAGGATAACGTTCATTATATGCTTTACGTTTAGGATAATCAGTTATAGTTAATTTGTAACCATTTATGACTTTAATATTACCTTGACCATCAGTAACGAAAACTTCATTTATACCATCAGGTTTTCCATTTGGACCCGTAATGTCTGCTTCGTGTGCTTCCCAATTTGGACCTTGACGTTTGGCATATGCTTGAGCTTCTGGTAATGTTAAAACGTTTCTCATTTGTTTAACATCTTTTTGAAGACCAGCAACAATATGAACTAATTCTTTCATTCCATCAGGAACTTTCATAGTTCTATTATATGCACCCTTTTTGTTTGTTCCTTGTTTTAATGGAACCTGTAGAAGATTTGCATTTCTGTCATGTTTAATTATAAATAAAAAATAAAAATTAATTATAAAAAGTTAATCAAATTTAACACTTCCTTTATTTAAATCAACTATTATTTTCCATGTCACCTAATTGCTGATATTGTGTGTAAAGTTCATTAATGCTCATTGGTAAATTCACTTGATAAAGCATAACGTTCAACTGTTGACGACTAAACCCACTGAAAATGAAAAGAGTTGATAGATTTGATTTAATGTTTGTGCTTAATGCTTTGAAATATTGAACAGCCATAAAGAATGAACACTGAATGTGTCGACATTGAGTTAATAACTGATTAAAATATGATTTCTCATTTGTTATTAGTTTTGATTTCACTGCATCATCTAGAAAAATGAGTGAATGCAAAAATTGTCTATCAAAATTTGAAATAGAAAGTGTTTCAAATAATTCATCCCGTTGTTTATCAATAATTTTATCCTCTAATCCTTGCTTCTTGATTGTATTATATAATTCTTTATACATTAAAAAGTTTTTTAAATAATCTTCTGCTTCTTCTTGTGATAAATAAATAATTGGAATTTTGATTAAATGCTTTAAAGATTCAAATGTATCATCTGAAGGTGAACCTGAACGGTTGATATAAATTAACACATGTGAATAGGGGGAAGTGTTAGCAATAATGATAATTTGTTTTAATATCGTTAATATTTTACCTTTATTCT